TGTCAGAGTGCTTTCTATGTCCCAGACACTGTTTTCAAGGCATAACATTAACCTGAAATCCCCACAATAAGGCCGGGCGCGGTGGCTCAAGCCTGGAATCCCAGCACTTTGGGAGGCTGAGCTGGGTGGACCACCAGGTCAGTTCTAGACCAGCCTGGCCAATATGGAGGAACCCCGTCTCTACCAAAAATACAAAAATTAGCTGGACGTGGTAGCGGGTGCCTGTAATTCCAGCTACTCAGGAGGCTGGGCAGCAGAATCGCTTGAACCGAGGAGGCAGAGATTGCAGTGAGCTGAGATTGCGCCACTGCGCTCCAGCCTGGGTGACAAAACGACACTCCATCTTGAAAAAATAAATAAAATTAAAAAATATATATATATAATAAAATAATAAAAAGGCTGAGATGGTAAATGTTATGGGTGTTTTACTACAATTTTTAAAAAACACCAACTGAACTTCCTGAAAAGAAATTTTATAGTAATTTATATAGTAATACGTATGTTCTATTATATAGTAATACATATGTTCTATTATACTCTCAGTTCATTATTGTTTTTAAAAATTCCACAGGAAAAAAAATGACAAAATGACTTTTTTTGTTTTTCATTTTTTTAAGACAGGATCTTACTCTGTTGCCCATGCTGGAGTGCAGTGGCATAATCATAGCTCACTGCAGCCTCAAACTTCTAGGCTTAGGCAATCCTCTAGCTTTAATTTTAATTTATCCTTTAATTTTTTGTAGAGACCAAGGCTTACTATGTTGCCCAGGCTGTTCTTGAATTTCTGATTTCAAGTGATCCTCCTGCCTCAGCCTCCCAAAGTGCTGGGATTATAGGCGTAAGCCACCACACCTGACCACAAATGGTATTTTTACATTGACTCTCTAAGAGAAGGCAAAGAACATACATAAGACCAACTACATAGAAAACAATGCCCAGGATATATTTGGCTTCAGGAAATAAACTGACAGACTGAAGAAATTAGCTTTATGTACCAAAAACAAGAATATCAAAAAGCATCTAATTACTATAGCGGTATCTTGGAGTAAAAAGCTGTCAAAGCTCTGTGTGTGTATAAACATGTATTTTACACAAATACAGAGTATATAATTACATGTAGACACAATAAGTATATATAAGTAGAAATCTTTATAAGAGTCATCAATTAGGCCAGGCACGGTAGCTCACGCCTGTAATCTTAGCACTTTGGGAGACAGAGGCAGGTGGGTGGTTCAGCTGAGGTCAAGAGTTTGAGACCAGCCTGGTCAACATGATGAAACCCCATCTCTACCAAATATACAAAAATAAGTCAGGTGTGGTGGTGGGCACCTGTAGTCCCAGCTACTTGGGAGGCTGAGGCAGGAGAATCATTTGAACCCAGGAGGCTGAGGTTGCAGTGAGCTGAGATGGTGCCACTGCATTCCAGCCTGGGTGACAGAGCAAGACTCTGTCTTTAAAAAAAGAAGAAGAAGAAGAAAAAGCAGCCTGGGAAACATGGCAAGATCCTGTCTCCACAACAACAACAAAAATGTAGAGGCATGGTGGCACATGCCTGTATTTCCAGCTACTTGGAAGGCTGAGGTGGGAGGATCACTCGAGCACAGGGGTCTGGTTGCAGTAAGCCATGTTTGTGCCACTGTAGTCCAGCCTGTGCAACAGAGACCCTGACTCAAAAGAAAAAAAAAGAGGTAAGAAAAAAATACTATATGCCATCGCTTTTAAACTTACATCTGCATATTAAATATAGCTTATGTTCTGTGAATTAATGGTACTTTAAATGTAATCTAGAGTTGTGGAGACCAACTTTTTCATTCTACTTGTTACTCTTCCTAAAGTGACCAATGAGAAGTTACTTTTTTTTCAGTTTCCCTGCAATTACGAAAGCACGTTTAAGAAACTTGCCTCATCTGCAGCGTTTTAAAAGCTCTAAAAACTCACCCAGGGAAATGAGGAGCTACCCTAGTCTTTTAGATAGTCTCCAAAGAGTCTAGTAAGTGGATTTATAAAACATAAAATTATCATGCAGTTTTGATTTTTTTAATCAAACAGTACTTAGAGTGGACAAATGGCTTGAAAAGATTCCTGCAAAGAATCTACTAACTGAATATGATGAAAACACATGCTCAAGAGAATAATAAGATGGCAGAATGACCCTTCTATTCCTAGAACATAATAAGGTAAAAGCAATGACTTGCTTATCAGATTGGTAAGAAGTCAAGTAAATATTTGCAGCAACCACAAAGACCTTTGAAATGCAGACATATTCATGATAATAACAATGACAATAGTAAGTGTACTGTCAGAGTGCTTTCTATGTCCCAGACACTGTTTTCAAGGCATAACATTAACCTGAAATCCCCACAATAATCCCCACAGTAACCCTATGAGGCAAGGGTCTTCTATTATCCTATTTCACTACTGAGACAATAGACAGAGAGGGCCACAAAGCCACTACTAAGCTCAGGGTATATGCTCTTAAGCCACTATGCTCTATCGGTCTGGCTCGAAGTGTATATACTACACCCTAAGATACTAGCTAATCATAACAATTCATATTTACATTATAAATATATTTTTAAAGTTACATGGAGAGTCTACGCTCAAATATTTTAACTGATAGTAGCATATTATTCAAAAAGTTTGAAGACTATCTTCCAGAGACATTCAGTTACTTACCCCGAGTCTTAGAGTAAGTTAATGATTGAGTCTGATATAGAACCTCTGCAGTCTCTAGACCCCCTAGGCCTGACCCCTTTCCACTTTGCCCCAGCTTCACTGTGGCTGTAACTGATGGATTCATCTCATGTGATAGCCAACCCTGAATTCAGTGCTGGACTGATCCTACAGCACTATTTTTGAATCATCCTTTATGTACCTTCCATAATTAAAGTGTTATAACTTCATTATCTTCACTTCCAAGTCCCCATATTTCTTCTACTAAGAAAACAAAAAGTTTATTAAGATATTTTCATGCACATTTTCTATACACTTTTTTAGGTAAACCCAAATCAGATGTCCACAAAAGATAAGTCTGAGATGCAATTATTAATGTACCAATCAAAGGAGTCATTTGAATGGGACTTTTTTACATTTTTAAACAGCATTGTATAAAAATCCATGCGTTAATATTATAACAAGTTCTACTGTTGTTCCATAGGTGGCAGTATTGTACCACCTGGTATAGTACAATGCTCATGCCACTACTGAACTGTAGGAAATAAAAGAAATTGTCATGCTCAGGGGTTTGAAAGGACCATCTCGAACCATCTATTCTAACCTCTTGTCTGTTTTTCTATAAATAAGGCCAGTAGTCAACTGAATCAGGGTTCATTTCCTAAACCCTCCATCACAAGGGGTAACAAACAATCAAATTCTCTATATTGAACTACTTCTGAACTTTGTTCATCTACCAGTTTAGTAACTATAATAAAACAAACAGAAAATATTTCAAACGCAATTGGAATTTCTGCAATTAGAATATATGTATGTGTGTGTGTGTGTGTCTGTGTTTTTTTTTTTTTTTTTTTTTTTTTTTGTGTGTGTGTGTGTGTGTGTGTGTGTGTTTTCCTGCTGTGGCTATCTTGATGTAAAATGCCGACAGTGCTGAACTGTTTGAGACAGATTCTCGCTCTGTCCCCAAGGCTGGTGTGCCCATGGCTCATGGCAGCCTTGAGCTCCCAGGCTTCAGCAGTCTTCCCACCTCAGCCTCCCAAGCAGCTGGGACCACAGGGGTGTACCACCACACCTGGCTCATTATTGTTCTTGCTGTTGTGGGGTTTTCTTTGGTAGAGGTGGGGTCTCCCTATGTTGCCCAGGCTAATCTTGAACTCCTGGACTCAAGCCATCTGCCTGCCTCAGTCTCCCAAAATAATGGGATTACAGGTGTAAGTCACTGCACCTGGCCAGACTCTT